TGCCCCGTGGGGCAGGAAGTGGAAGGAGAGACCTCTCCTACCACAACTAGAAAGAAGGGGAAGAGACCACCATGCTCCTTGACTTTAGAATTTGGAAGAATCTCAGCTTCTCATACTATCCCTTTGATTTTTCATGGAGAAAGTGTTAAAGTAACCAGTCCTACTGCTAATCTTCCAGAGATGGAGGGAAGCACAACACAGATCCCGTGCCCTCGAGGGAAAGTTCCATCCAGGAACACAGACACCAGTGGGAAGACACCATCAGGAAACAGTCAATGAGTGAGAAAAACACCATCCTACTGAATGTAGGAAAGTGTGGCTCCAGCTGAACAGGCTTTAAAAACTGTGAGAACTGAGAGGTGCATCCCCACCTTTGTGCACGTTTCGTGTGCTCTGCTCTGCCCGATTCCCACACACCAATAAAGGAAGGCTATACCTGCCCCAAGTCGTTCTGGGCACATGAGGCCTGGCAGGAAGGTGCTGTGCTTTTCTCTCCCTCACAACCAGCAGAAGCCCACCACTAACGTGCATCCTCCACCCCTCCAGGTGAAGAGACTAGGTGAGGACAGTAGGGGTCTTTCCAGCCCCAGGATCTCAGGATTCTGTAGAGAAGGAGGAACTGGTCAGGCCACAGACTAGCAGAAAAAGGAACTGATAAAAGGAAAGTGTGTGACCCCTCCCTGGAGAAAAGGGCAGTCCTGCTCTGGCCCAGAAGGCATCCTCCATGGGTGGTACCACCTGAGCTGCATTGCTGCCAAGTGTCCTTTGGGTTTGAACTAGGAAGCAGCAGCAGAGGACCAGAGGACAAGGGACAGGCTGAGAGCACGTGCCTTGGGGCTCCATCCTTGGCTTCTACTGACCAAATGTGCAGGTCTCTGCAGAAGTCCTCCGTGGGATGACTCAACAGTCTCCTCTGGGTTCTGGTGCCAAGCCCTCTCTCCCCTCTCAGGGCCATGACACAGTCTCTTGTCATTGCTGTCCTGAGGTGTGTCATCCTATTAGGGCACTTGAGGAAGTTAGACTGTCAACAATGGTTTCTATGTGTCAAGCACCACTAAGCTCTCTATGAGCATTTTCTCCACCAAGTTCCAATGACTCTGTGTGTCATTGGACGTGCTAAAGATAGGAGATGTTAGTAAACCACCCAACTGTTACCATGCCAAGAAGTGATTCCTGTGCTTTGTGATGGGTCACAACCCCAGATGGAAACTCAGAACCCCCTCCATCAGCTCTACACTGTAAAATGTCTGCCTAGCTGTTGGGACAAGTTCAGAGAAAGCCAAAAAATGCAGTCCCAGCCCTGACAAAGTTTCTGATTTCAGAGTCAAAAGGGGAAAAAAAGCTATAAGAGGATGAAAAACTGTTGGCTCAAACACAGCACTGAAAATCAGAAGCAAATGCATGCCGATTTCCAGCGCTCAGCCAATCCAGCACTGGAAGTGGGCATATGGTGATTAGGAGGAGAGAAGATACCTGTTCAGAAAACAGTAACCAACCACGGCTGCCATGAACCACGGCTTGCCAAAACATATGTGACCCTACTGACAGGTCACTCTGTGACAGCCATGCCTTCAGAGAGCGATCCTGACTCACAAAACCTTCACCTTCTGGGGTGCAGAGAGACCACCATCCACCTGCTTGCTCCCCTAGTTGTGGCAAAACTCCCCCCATGGGTTTCACCCCACACAGTCAGTTCTCAGCCTTGACAGATGACCCCCAAAAGCTACAAACAAGCTAAATGGTAAACCCAAGTACTAGCACCCAATTCACACAGCCGCCACACTTTTGAGACCAGCACTACTAACTGTAATTACTCTCCTTTTTGGTATGCCAGAATGACCTTGCATCTGGACTTTGGGGGCATCGGTCTGCTGCAAGAGGCTTGACAGAACATTCTGATTCACATAGGATGTGCTCATAAAAGGCAGGGACTTTCTACCTAGGGAGAATGCTTTCTTTCTCTACTGAACTCATGGGGCTTCCTCTGGCTGCCATCACTTGCTAAGTGTCTCTGGGAAAGTGAGAAAACTCTACTGCTCACACACATCCTAGGATGCACTTTGAGTTGTTATTCTAATAGAAATAGAGTAAACCTAGTGACTTCTGCTCATTGGGTTCAAGATGACCTGACCTGGCCTGAAGCAGATGCCACGCTCAGACCCTGAACCACACTTTGAGTCCAATTCAAGAGACCTGCTTCTAGGGTAGGGTGAAGAGTCTGTGAATGGATTCAAACTCTGACCCACACAGTTGCCAAGAGACTTCACCCAGTCTTCTAGGGCTGCACAATCTAGACCTTCATTTACAGATATGAGTGATGAACAGTGAAACCATGAGCACAGAAGGGGCTTAGGGGCATGGCTGAAGTGGTAGAGCACCTGCTTAGCATGCATGAGTCCCTGAGTTCAAACCCCAGTGCAAGGAAAGGAAAGAAATGGAACGGCAAGAGGAAAGGAGAAGGGAAAGGGAAGGGGGAAGGGAGGGAAGGAGAGAGAAAGGAGGGGAATATAGAAGAAAGAAAGAAAGAGAGAGAAAGAGAAAGAAATGAGAAGGAAGGAGGAGGCACACTAAGCCAACCATTGTAACAGATGATAGCCAATGAAGTAGACTGAATGCAAGAAATGGGAGACAGGGAAGAGATGTTCTCTAACCATTTTACCTGCTCCCCAACATTTTCCCATCCCCTCTGATGTTAGTCAGGGCCACAAAGCCAGCCCCTCCATCCCCTCTGACCCAAGACACACACACATCCATTCCTTTCTCATGTCCTCCACTCCTCAGGGAAGCAACTAAATATATTTTTTTCAAATTCTGCATCATGACCCATCATTGTATCATAAAGTCAATTTAGTAAGACCATACACTGAAAAGAAAATAGAATTGGCCAGAAGAAAATATTAGAAATCGTGGGAACAGATGAGTTGAGTACTGTGCAGAGGGTCATATGTGTGCACTGTGTCATCATGAGAAGGGAATTCACTGCGGTAAAGCCCAGAGACTCTGTTCCTTCAACAGATAATACAGAAGTATTGAATAGTATTGAATTGAACTGTCAAGAGGGAAAAATAAAGCAAATATATTTGAAAGCAATTTATAAAACAGGAAGAACTAGCTGTCACCTTAAATCAATGCCTTTGCACTTCTGGGCCTTGGTTCTAGAATTAAAAGTTTCATTCCCTGTGGGAAGAATTTCTAGCATCCTCAGAAGGAGAAACTGAGGCCACCAAAAAGCTCCCCCTTCATCTTAAAGAGCACTTAACTAGTGTATGCAAGGCCCTCAGTTAAATCCCCAGCACTGAAAAAGAGAGAGAGAGAGAACATGAAAGGCTTCTTGACAGGTTTACAATGAATACTCTAGAGATCTCTTTGTGGTCCACTGAAGAAAGCCAACTGTAATATAATATTCTCCATACAAATTTCACAATTGAATTTGTGCATAAGTATTGAACCAATTACAAATGTCTGTGCCCTGATCACAGTTCAGGTTTGGTCATGGTGCCCCATAGCAATATTGTGTCAAGCAGCTCATATTGCCAGGTTTCACGTAACTACACAACCAAGGAAAGTCAGTACATATAACAATCTCACTAACTTAAACTGACCTGTTCTCTTGAATTTGGCAGTGCTTTATCACAGTGATGATAAATAATGTTGAGTCATCCCCCATTTTTATGATTGCCATCATGGAACAAGACAGTTGATCAAAGCAAACCCTCATTATATCCAGTGGATGGAGCCAGCCGTCACCACCCACTCCCTTCTAGATAAACCAGAAGAACCATTCACCTGTTCCTAGACACATGTCACTCAGCCTTCTGACAGAATAGTCCAATAGTCACTTCTTTAGGTCAACAAAAAAAAGTAGACTGAAGGAGTGGCTCAAAGGATAGAGTGCTTGCTTTACAAGAGTGAAGCCCTGAGTCCAAGCCTCAGTCCCACCAAAAAAAAAAAAAAAGATATAAAAAGTATATTGTATCTGCCTTGTTATGTAGTCCCAGGAGTGCAGGAACCCCAGAACCTAGCTCAGTGGGAAGGAAGTGGGAAGAAGTGGGAAGGAAATAGTAAGGAAATATTCCAGAAATATTTGTTGAATAAATCAACAATAGAAGTGTGCTATATGGGCAGAGCATCACCATGAAACAAAGGCACAGAGCGAATCGAATAGAGATTTTCCATTGTGTTGGGGCTTGTGACTAGAATCCACCTTCAGAGGTCTGAAAGATGGCGGGCAAGATCTGCTTTTAGTACGTCAGACTGCTAACGTGGAGCAGATGAGACTTGGAAAGAGAAAATGTCAAGACTGAGTCACAAGGCACCTTGGCTTCTTCTTTCATGACCCAATTGTGGTGCTGGATGTTTCTGCCCAGCTTTTCTTCTTGTCAAGATCAAAGCCCTTGATGTTTATGATGCATTCATTTCTGTTCTCCTCACACACACGCACACCATTTTTTCACACTAAATCTCCTTGCTGTCTCTTCTTCCTCCTCCTATCCCTAAATTCAGGGGTGCTGCTCCCTCTCCTCCTGCTTGACACACCTCCCTTGTCCATACCTATGGCTATGCATCCAATAAGCCCCAAATCCTCCACACTTTCAGTCTAAGTTCCCCATCTACAGGTGAAAATGCCAACTGGGCATCCCACGGACATCTAAAGTGCCATTCCTGCTGTCAGACAGAGGGCCTAGAACCCACTCCAAGACACATGACACCAACATGGGCCCATTTCCACCACCTCCTCTTGCAGCCTGCAAACTCCCCCTCCAATCAGAACAGTTTTCCCAAACTACAAGTCCAACAGTGTCACCCCAACACTTAAATTGTTTTTATTGGGGATAGTCCTCACATTTTCCCCACTAGATTTTTTTTTCTGTCTGAGGAATACTCCCCAGACAGCAACAGTCATCAAAGAGAAAAGTAGGGTTAGATCAGAAGACAGTGAGAGAGCTATTTCTACTGAGTTGTATGCCACCTTTTCCTGTGGTGTTTCTGCCTCGCCTTACCTCCTGGGATTGCCTTCTGTCCTCTGCTCACATCTAAGCAATCATAGCTCAGCAGCAAATACAGCAACCACCCTCCCTGAAACCAAGAGATCAGCCAGCTCAGTAAGTTTGAAGGAAAGAAAATGTCAACATGCTGCAAACACCATGGCCAGCCCAAACGCAAGGCATCTTCTGTGTCTCAGTCGAAGGCAAAAATCAGCACAGACACCACAAACTGATAGAGTAAACCAGAAATGAGAGAGAGAGAGAGAGAGAGGTTGAGAAAGAGAGAAGGAGAGAGAGAGAGACAGAGAGGGACAGAAGGAGAGAGACAGACAGACAGAGATGGATAGACAGGGAGGAGAGAGAGACGGACAGAGAGAGAAAGATTTCACTCACCTAAGGCACTGATTCCAGAGCAGTGAGCGAGTCACGAGGATGGAAGTTCCGGGATGGCGGCTGGGACCATCGAAGGTGGTATTGGGGGAACTTAGCCTCTGATGCGCAGAACCTCCGCCTTCAACACTGGGGCTTCTCCTAGACTCTGCTTCCGGCTGCCTTCCCGTTCTCTCCCCTCCCGGTCTGCCTGCACACATGGCTTTCACTGCAGATAACTCTGGCAGGGAACCACAGACTTGAACGTGAAATGATTCACAGCTAACACATGACACTTTGGAGGACCTCATTAAATTGTTAAACATTGATAGGTTTGTCCACAGCCCTCCTGTTCCACCCAGAGACACCTCTGAATTTTCCACAGGGACCTGGCTCTGACTGTTACTGACCTGGCTGGAACTGTTTGCCCACAAAATGCAAACTAGCAATTTGCTCTGAGAGTTTTATTGAGAAGATATATTCTACTGGAATTTAAAAAATTCAAGTTTACATCAAAACAAGTCACTATTTTCAAATCCTGACAATTTTTATTTTAAACCAGATTTGCTATTATGATAACTATATGTACATCATTTGCATATTAATCTGTATACAGACAGAAGAAAAACTAGACCATCATCCTGGTCACAAAGCAATGAAAGAAGCAACTAACACCAAGCTTAAAAAAGATTATCAAAATTCCCAGCCATTAGAAAGAAAGAAGATTAACTTTGAGTTCAAAAGACAAATCAAATGTGCAATAAAAAAATTTGAACTAAAGCAAATAAAAATACCGAATCTAATCTCTTTGACACACTCAAAATTGTTTTCAGAGGTAAATAGCCTCAGTACTTTTATTATTAAAGAAAGAAAATGACTAGGTTCTCAAAGAATCTAGAAAACAGAAATTACAGAAAAGAACAATATAACAAGTAGTATAATAATACTGTTAAAAACAGCATAATAATAAACTAAAAGAAGCACTGAATAATTCAAATGTTACAACAAATATGCACTCACACTCCCTCTAAAATGGACAAGGTTCCAGCATGTCCACCAAGTATAGAGAGTAAGGGGAAAAAAAGAAAAGAAGCAGACTGTGAAATGAGGTGTGGCGAGGTGGTTCCTACCTATAATCCCGCCTACTCAGAAGGTGGCAATCAGAAGGATCATAGTTCAGGTTTAGCCCAAAGAGTTAGAGAGCCCATCTCAACCTATAAGCAAGGCCTGGTGTTGTGCATCTGTAGTCCCAGATACATGGGAGACACAGGAAGGAGGATTGCTGTCTGAGGCTGGTCCTGAAAAAAATTCAAGACCCTATCTGAAAAATGACAAAAGCAAAAAAAAAATTTAAAAAAAAAGAGAGAAAGAGAGAGAGAGCTGGTAGCATGGCTCAAGTGGTAGACACCTGCCTAGCAAGTGCAAGGCTTTGAATTCAAACCCAAGAACCACCAAAAACTAAAAGAAAAACAGAGGAAATGACACTGAAATGTCAAGAGTGCTGCATCCCAGGGATCAGGTGCCATCTTCAGAGTGCCAGGCAGGAGACCATGCCACACTTGTACCCTCAGACACTCTCCCTACAGTGAAATGAGAACATAAAGGTAGTCACCTCCTAAGGACTTGTGGAAGTCAAGTAAGTGCTTCCTGGTACCTGCTAAGGTCTGGATATTGGTTTGGGTCCCCCAAAGGTTTGGTGGCACTCTTGGGATGAATGACCTAGTGGGAGGTCCTCAAGTCATTGAGGAGTTGCCCTCAAAAAGGGTTGTGGACTCTACCTGTCCTGTCTCTGCTCCAACTCAAGATGTGACCTTTTGCTCCCACCACCTCCCATGGGAGGCCACCTTCACAAGAGGCCAAACCAAAGAGGCTGCCACTCCTGGTCCTGAACCTCCAAAACTGTGAGCTAAACAAACATTCTCTCTCTATAAAACTAGCTGCCTCTGATATTTTGTTGTAGTCACATGAAGCTGACTGATACAGTTCCCAGGAGCTAGTAAGTATATACTCAAGCAATAATCTAGATGATCCTAAAGACTTCTGTGACTTTGTTTATTTGATTCGTAAAGCCCTACAATTCCTTCCCTTTTTTCCGTAGTCTTTTATCTTGAAGCTTGTTGATGCCAGTAGAATATGTTAAAAGGGTTTTTTAGCTCCAGTTTTCAAATTCCTAATTTGCACATCTTCATGGTCATTTTTTAAAGTTAGCTTAAATAAAACTCCCCTCCACAGATCCCACTGCTAAGAGAACACAAGACTTGGAGTGTGGACAGGTGGAAGGAACAGGGCTGGGCTGGAAATGTGAGGAGGAGAGGGATGATGACCAGCAGGGAATATGGCAGAGGACGCAGGAGAGGCGTGCACACCCATCTGTGCTTTCCCAGGAGCCAAGCTCATGACAGAAAGGGCTTCTCACTGCCAAGAGTCAGGGGCTTGTCAACAACAAAAACCCAGCTGATCCAGAAGTGGGCGAAGGGCTTGCAGACATTTCTCCAGGGAGACAGACAGGTGGTCTAGGAGCACGTGAAAAGACACCCGGCACCACAGACCACTGGAATTGAGAACCTAAATCCCGTCGCCATGCCACTTCTCACCTACTAGCACAGCTAAAATGTTTTAAAATTACAGTAATGGGGAATAACAAGTGTTGGTGAATCTCTAGCAATAAAGGAAATGCAAATTAAAACCACACTAAGATTCCACCTCACCCCTGTTAGAATAGCCATCATTAGCAACACCACCAACAACAGGTGTTGGCGAGGATGCAGGGAAAAAGGAACCCTCTTACACTGCTGGTGGGGATGTAGACTAGTACAACCACTCTGGAAAAAAATTTGGAGGCTACTTAAAAATCTAAACATTGATCTACTATTTGATCCAGCAATACCACTCTTGGGGATATACCCAAAAGACTGTGACACAGGTTACTCCAGAGGCACCTGCACACCCATGTTTATTGCGGCACTATTCACAATAGCCAAGTTATGGAAACAGCCAAGATGCCCCACCACTGATGAATGGATCAAGAAAATGTGGTATCTATGCACAATGGAATTTTATGCAGCCATGAAGAAGAACGAAATGTTATCATTCTCTGGTAAATGGATGGAATTGGAGAACATCATTCTGAGTGAGCTTAGCCTGGCCCAAAAGACCAAAAATCGTATGTTCTCCCTCATATGTGGACATTAGATCAAGGGCAAACACAACAAGGGGGTTGGACTTTGAGCACATGATAAAAGCGAGAGCACACAAGGGAGGGATGAGGATAGGTAAGACACCTAAAAAACTAGCTAGCATTTGTTGCCCTCAATGCAGAGAAACTAAAGCAGATACCTTAAAAGCAACTGAGGCCAATAGGAGAAGGGGAGCAGGAACTAGAGAAAAGGTTAGATCAAAAAGAATTAACCTAGAAGGTAACACACATGCACAGGAAATTAATGTGAGTCAATACCCTGTATAGCTATCCTTATCTCAACCAGCAAAAACCCTTGTTCCTTCCTATTATTGCTTATACTCTCTCTTCAACAAAATTAGAAATAAGGGCAAAATAGTTTCTGCTGGGTATTGAGGGGGTGGGGGGAGAGGTAGGGGGCGGAGTGGGTGGTAAGGGAGGGGGTGGGGGCAGGGGGGAGAAATGAAACCAAGCCTTGTATGCACATATGAATAATAAAACAATAAAAATTTTTAAAAAAGTGTTGATGAAGTTATACACACGTTGCAACCCTTGTCCGTTGCTGGTGGGAATATGAAATGTACAGACACTGTGGAAAACAGCAACACAGTTCCTCAAAAGAAATAAAATAATAAAATTATCATGTGATCCAGCAATGACACCCAGCAAATCCAGCCAAAAGCAGTGACGTCAGGGAGTTGTACTCTTGTGTCCATAACAGCATTGTTCATGGTAACCAAAAGGTGGACGCAACCCAAGTCCATGGGTGGAACAAGTGAAGATACTGTGGTTTATCCACACAATGGAATATTACTCAGCCTGAACAAGGGAGAAAATTCTGACGTGGAGAAAACTTGAAGACATTCTGCTAAACGAAACAAGTCAGACACTGAGGATAAATACTATAGGATTCCACAAGAGCAGTCAAAGGCACAGAAGGAAGTTAGGATATGGTTGCCAGAGACTGGGGGCAGTGGGGAGAAATGACACTAGTGGGTGCACTATTTTCTTTTGGGGTGATAATGGTGTTTTGGAGCTGGAGAGCAATGCTGGGGGCACAACCTGTGTCTTACAAAATGTCATGGATTGTGGTTAAACTGCCAGATTCAACTTATGCAAACTTTACCACAATTTTTAAAAAATAACTAAAGGTTTATTGAATTTCAGACTTCACAGATGATATCTGGGTTATTGATATTATACCCACAATAAAACTAGTAATTTTAAAAGAAAGGGAAGAACTCCAGTGCTGAAAGGAAGTCAAGATCAGGCTAGAGGGAATGGGGAGTCCCTTCTGTTGATGAAGGATGGGTTTTCCCCAACTGTGCCCCTCCCCACATCAAGAGCACCTGTGTGCATTTGGGGGCAGTAGGGTGGGGGATGAGTTAATAAATTGAAGGAGTAGTGGATCAAACAGAATTCACTAGGTTTATTTACTTCTGGGCTTTTGAAAACTTTGCACAGCTAGCAATAGAATAACTTCAGAAAGGAGGCTCAAAGATAGGTTGTCCAAATTTATTTGGAACTAGAACAGACCAACAAAAAAATCAGACAAATAAAGGTTGACCAAGTGGGGTCGAAGGGGTTATGGCTGGATCAAGCCCACACTCGAGACAAGTAAGAGGCTCACCTGCATAACCAGATCACAGGAAAGCCATCCTTATGACTCCCCACCTCTTCTGTTCTAACTGTCTAAACCTCCCACGCCAAGGTTGGCACCAACAGTCTTCACTGGCTCGAGAGAGCGCCTCCCTGTATCTGATGGAATACTTTGCTTTTTCTAACCAATGCTAAGATGATCAAAGGGCTGTTATTACACAAGTGTGAATAGTGTGAATAAAAGTCATCAAAACAGGAAACTGAAAAGTACAGGTCTAATATTACACGTAGTGCCATAGCAAGAGCCTAAAGTGTGAAGTAGACCTATCAAGGAACCCAGAGAAAACTCCTGATTTGGGATGTAGCTTAGTTATCTTCCATACAAACAGTTTCTCCCCTGGATCAGCTAG